TTTATGGCTTTTGAAATTTTTTGTTGGACCAAAATACCCTTCATCTTTTGTTACCAAATTGAAAAATCTCATTTTCCTTTAAAACTACTAACTTCAAAATGTGAAGACATTTTTGGAAAAATGGAACAACTAAATGCACAGATAGGTCACACAAAGTAATCTTACGACCGCAATATACACCGTTCTAGATTTTCAGGATTTTGTAAGATTTACGATTTTAGATCAATGGAATTTTTGAACGGGTCAAGTCTAGGTATTCTAACAAAATAATCAATGCAACACTTATGTTAACAAAAAATTCAAATTCTCACGCAATGCAGTCTCATGCAGTGACTATATGACAATTACAGTATAAAATCAATTACTAACTTGCAATCAACTTCAACACTTCAAATTAGGGCAGATAATTCCTAAATTTTCTTGCACAAGTAATGTTACCACTTCACGGTAACCACAAACCTAATGTCACCATAGATGATGACGCGCTAATGCTGAAATTTAAATTGAGATAAGCCAATATACAGGAGCGGACCAATCTGAGTCCATAAATTATGAGACACGCGAATTTATCACTTTAAGACCACCACTCTTCATCCTAAAGTCTCTGGAAACAACAGCAACCAACAAATCACGATCGAGTTCTGAACGTCCCAAGAACAACTCTGTCCAGATTTTATTGCACACCCTGAAACAGAAACCTTTCAACATAAAAAAATGTCAGAAATATCGTTAGGAACAAACTGCCTGAAGAGACCGCCTCGAGATTCATGTACACGGCCCTTACGCATCGGGAAGGTTCTCTATGCGTGAGCCACACGCGCTATCACACACGTCGACGGTCTGTCTCACGTGTCGGATGTTCGGCACCACCATCACCTGCACATCACAACAGTGGTCTCCGTTTCCCAAAACTCCTTTTGGATTTGTCAGAAAACATGAAAACAAGTTCGAATTCTGAGCAATTTTCTAGACAGTTTCTTCAATCTGTGTCTGCTTTGTTCCAGCCAATTTCCTGGACTTTTTTGCAATATTTCACGAGCCAAAATCACCACCTTGAAACTCTGATACCAAATGTTGAGGAAGCTATCTAAAAGGATCTTCAAATGGGTGATTTCTCAGACTCAATCCAACGTACCTTTCTCTACCAACAACCAATCCAACAAACTCCAAACCACAACTAATATAATTTACCTTAGTTACTATTCAATCTTACCCACGTAGGACAAGAAAAGGTGATGATTTGTGGTCACAAAAACTAGGAAAAGACACCACAAAGGTAGGCTATGAAGGAATCACCAATTCCACAAAGTAAACAAGCGTTTTGGACACTTCTAAGGGCTATTTTCACACACCAGAGGGGGCAGTCGGGATTCCTCTATTTTTCTCTCAAAACCACACAAATCATACAAGAAAGTGGCTAGGATTATAGCCTTATATATACTCTAGGGTTAAACTTTAAGTTGGACCTTTAAGGGGTTTAAACAAGCCAAGATTCAAGCCATCCAAGAGGGAATACAATTGGGTCGGGTGGAATTCATGGACTTTGTTGTTGGACTTAATTCATTTATCGGCCTATGCCTATGAAATAATTAACCCACGTTAATATTATAGCTTGATATTTATTGGGTATCAAAAACCCAACAATAGTATAGTAGTGGCACCAAGTATAGGGGTCTCATTTACTACCACAATAAACATAAATGGTTATACAATGTTAAAAGTCATCTCAAAAGAAAAATATAAACTTGCCAAAATTACTAAACTACGTCTAAGATTATTAGCACAACAATTCCAATTCGAATCATTCGAAGCCCGCTAACACCCAACTCAAATATTTCATCAAAGATAGGAAGTCAAAAGGAAGAAAACACTGTCATAGTTAATAAATTGAAGAGCCAGGCTAACATCAGCCTTTGGAAGACAAGAAGGTAAGGTAGGAGAGGAGAGGATGGTTCTACAACTCCTAGCTTGGTGATGTAAATGGGGGATGTTACGTAAAAGCATATGTAATATAAAAGTAATTACAAAAACACACAAATTTATGTGGAAACTCTAGACGAGAAAAAATTATGGACAAAGAATGAGAAATTCACTGTATCAAAGATAAGTACAACGGAGGAGTTTTGGACGGCTACACTAATCCCTCTACTCCCACTACCGACCCCACATAATTCTCATAATTTTGATCAAGGCCAGCTCCGAGAATTTTAAGACCCTCGGCAACTCATCATTATGAGGCCTTTAGACGTAATTTTGATCCAAGAACTTTTTAATAAATTCAAGATTTTGAGGGATTAAAGTAAAAATAAGTTTCGAGGTCAATAATGTATTTGTACCAAATGTGTATTCATTGGAGCATCAAAATTATCCTATCAATATTGGACTCATTCTGAAACTCGTAATAAATGACACACTATGGACTCGAAAAAAAATTAATTTGGATAAAGCAACTTCAAGTTATAACTCATCAAAATAACTATTTGATGTGTAATATTAGTTTTTAAACTAAATCAAATTACCCTAACAATATTGGGCTTGTTTGGCAGCTCAAAATTAATCATATATATTAAACTCGAGAAATATTGATTTGAATAAGATTGTATTAAGTTAGAATCAACAAAAAACATTGTAGTTAAAGTAACTATATATCTATCTTTTAAATTTAATTGGGCTTCCAGAGTGAATTGTTTTTCATTTTTGAAGCTCCCATATGATTTGAGGCCCTAGGCCATTGGGCACTGATTTTGGTTTCACTACATGCGTCGCGCCACGAAATTTTGGGGCCGGATCAAACTGAATTCGATTTACCGTATTCTAACAGAGGAGGATGCTCCAATGGGGATGGTTCTTTGCTGTAAATGGGGGATGTTGCTATGAAAAATTTGGGCAAACCAAGCCAAAATGGAACTGCCTGTATTTATAAAAGAATACAAAGGAATGTACACCAAACAAAAATATGATGCAACTGCCAATCTAAAGAGTGCAAAATATCAATACAAAATAAGCAATCATTCCAAGAAAGCAATAGATTACATCCCAATTCATTGTTGCCATATCTACTAGGCCTTGGGAGATGTAATTGGCAAAAGGGAGATCAAAGCCTTGCTTCTCCATTATAAAGAGCAAGAAAAGTGAAAAAGGGTCCGTCCTTCATCCTATAGAGAATTGGAATCTAGCTAGGAATGTTAATGCTTGCAGAGTTTTTCAATTTTTTTGTTTCCCGGCTCTTGCATGAGCCAACGAGTGACTCGCACGTGAAAAATCTAGCTCTATTTGTCCCACTTTACATCCTAAATCTAGCTAACAATTAGGGTTATAAGTATCATCCCCTCAACTTACCATAGTAGATCACCTTTTGGCCATGGTTATAAAATCATGATTTTATGATTCGATCTTTCCTCCATATAAATGGGTGAAGGAATTATGAATTGTTTGGAAGCAATGACGGTATTCACCTATTCAGTATAGTAATTATTAATATTGAAAATGAAAAAAAAAATCCGGTATGCTATACTATTTAATATTATCTACCACATTTGCTTTTGGATGGTTCCAACATTAAGTATTGACTTCTTTTAACAAATAGTCGCATATATTATCGCAACGGTCAAATAGATGAAAATCATTTACTCACTTCAGATTGCCGATTAAGGAGCTAAAAAGTTTGATAGGATGAAGAGAAAAGAGTTAAAAGACCTATACAAACTTGTAGGTTACAAATTTACTCAATATTACTCACTATTCAGGTTTAGCTTTTAAGTCTAATAAATAGCTTTTAAGTAATTTTTTATCACTATAAGTGTGATCTTATAATTAGGCTTATTAAATTATTTATTGGCCCCCTTGTGCTGTCAAAAGTTACCCAGAAACAGCGAGGCCTTAGTTTTAATGAAGGAGCAAAATGGCAAATAAATAAAGGGAAATTCTCACCCACAGCATCCGAATATAATTACTTGTTTCAATTGAGTCCCCATGCATTTTTCTATCCTATTTGAATTAAATGGTAAAAGTAATAAAAAACGCCGTTGCCGGGGATCGAACCCGGGTCACCCGCGTGACAGGCGGGTATACTCACCACTATACTACAACGACTATGTTATTCGTTCAGAAGGTTTTAAATATATATTTTATTTAGAAGACGAAAGGTAAGCAATTTGAAATTACATAAAGAAAAATAGACAAGAATATCATCTAGGTCTGATTTTACCCATGTTTGATTCTAGGGCATTTTATTTTTTTTTTTCCTAATTTGTCTATAACCACATATTTCATCAAATTCACAACTTTTCATCAAGTTTTATGAAAATCTACTAAAAATCTTATTTTAAATAAAACTAAACTAGGGCTTTATATCAAGAGTTATGCTGTTTGGACGAGGTTTGAAGACACGATTAGTGACAGCTGCTGCGTTGGCAACGCCTGTGTGGTATCTTCTTCTATTTTTTTTAAATAGTCCAATAAAATGTTGACACGTGTACACCTATTTTTAAATCCTGTCACCAATCCTGTTTGTGTAACATAACTCTTATGTCTATCTTGGATTATTATTTCAAAATATTAAATCCACATTTTGTAGAATTTTTTTTATGAATAGATTTTGAGAAATATAAATTTTTTATTGAATATGTGATTTTAAAAAATAAAAATTTTTACACGTGCAAAAATGTGATTTAAAATGATTTTGGAGAAATAAAAGCCGAATAAGTACCTAATGTCATCTCTACATGACATCCACAATTCTCGGAAAGCGATAACATTCTAACGTGCGGTTTGGGTGTACATGTAGATCTTACAATCAATCCTATCTGATGCATGGATCAAATACATAAACAACATCCGTAACATATTTCTTGCCAAGAATAAGAATTGCTGATATAACTGGATCATTACCCCAGCCAAAAGCATACACAGAAACTCAATCATTCGATTCAAAGTTCAAGTTGAAATAATTTTATTTTTCTTTATACGTTAGTATGCTTATAGAGGTATTGCAAGTTACGAGAGCAAACGTGGAATACCTTATGAATTGTTCTAGCATTAAACAACTGACGCCAGATTATGTTGGCATGTTCGGTATGCAAAACTTCATAATACAAAGAAAAAGAAATAAAAATAACGTCTATTTTTCTATAGAGTACAAACTAATACTTGGTACCAAACATACTCAGTGTAATAGCCGGTGTAGTCTTGTACACCATCCCGCCTAGTGAATGCACTCTTTTAAGGATCCTCCACTTGCAACCTTCGTTCTTGATCAACCTTCAGAATTCTTTCAAAGCCCAAACATGTGCAACTTAACGTATACAAAGATCGTAGAATTGAGGGTGAAATGATTCTTTCAAGCATGTCTTCTGGTCAAATATACCAGCTACCCTTGTACAAATTATGTATCAGCAACTCCGGTAATTTGCATAAATGCAAGCAGTGTTAACAGTTCTATAGGCACAAATTCAAACTATATATCAGCAGCTCTGGTAATTTGCATCAATGCAAGCAGTGTTAACAGTTATGTAGGCACAAGTTCAGCCTGGCTCCTGGATCTATTTTGGCAACTGGTTTCACTTGTGCATCTGATTTTGGCTCCAAATCTAGCTGCACAAAAAAAAAAAAAAAAAAAAAAAAAACCCACTGGGAGTTGTTTAAGGAGGTACCATCTTTCGCTTTCAACTGTGTTCCCAGAAAAATTAGAATGAATATGAATGAGGTAAGCATGTTTGGCTAAGCTTAAAAGTATACTTATAAATTTGTTTAAAATATATTATTACAGGGAAATTCTACTTCTTTTGCAGTCAACAAAACAGATTTGCCATTAAAGATTTTCCGTATTTCCAGAGGAACGGCAATCGTCAAAAAATGGGTTTTGCCATAAATGAGCTTTGTGACTTAAAAGTTTTAATCGAACTAATCTCATTTTACAATTTTCCAAATGGACACAAATAACCATCATATTGTAGAATAGCAACACAAGGCCAGAAAACTCAAAATAATATGATTCTTTAGGAAAACTTATCAGAAACCACCAAGATTATACTTAGAGCATGTTTGGGAAGTTTAAAGGGTTTTAATTATAAACAAAAATAGAAATGAGTAGTGGATAAGTGGGTAATACTTGTGGATCTATTGAAATGTGTGGATAAAAAATGACTGAGTATTTACAAATAAGTGCCAAAAATAGGCTTAGACAACTGGACTACATTTAACTATGAAAATATTCTCTTCCTGCTTTCATGAAAGAGAACAACGAGAATTATACCATGCACATGATTTCAATAAATCATCATCATCATCCCGAAATTCAAAAAACAACTTGATGGACGTGGAAACTTACCAAGAGCAAATGTCGAAGTGTGTAATATATATTTCAGACTTCTCAAAAAAAGTGCTTCATCTGGCAGGGATCACTTATCTATCCCTAAGGAAATATCTTAAATCTTGAAAGTGAAGGGCTTCATTGCCCCAAGAAGTCCAGCCTGCTATCATCTCTCGAGAGAATAGTTCAATGCAGCGAGCAGGCCTAAACCCTGGTACATATTCCAACAGCAACTCTACATGCCAAGGAATTGAAATGGAAGAATCAGTCTCCCATTACAAACTACTAAAAGGAAATCAACACAGCTAATGCTTAAGATTGACAATGATTTGTTGAATATGGAATAACAACCGGCAAGAACTCGCAGCTTGAAGTGAAAATACAACTGGGAAGAACAATCAGGCTAAAAGAAACTAAAGGCAGTGCAAAGACTACCTCCAATGGGGGGCTTCCTCGAATAATCTCCAGGAACACTGATGAAGACTTGATCATCTGGTACATGGTTCAATATCGGCGGATGTTGGGAATTCATATCCTGCACAGTGAACAGAAAGAGATAAAAGGGCATCTAACAACATAAGAACGGTTTCGGTGGTTAGATAGACTCACCTCCCGATGACAATAACCAAGGATAACACATTCATATGGCCTGTGATGAAAGAGATCCAGTTCACTAATCAAAAAGCCATCCGCTTTCACCTGTAACATCGATAATTGGATTTGTAGACTCGATAGCAGAAAGCCGTGAATCTAGCCAACGTCCATAGTTAGATGGGAATACCTTCAGCCAGTAAAATGTAGCAGCATATTTGACACCCCATTTTGGGAATAATTCATTCTCCACAAAGCTCCGCAATTTCTCCCTATTAGTTACCCATAAGGCTACCAGAGATCCAGCTGTATGGGTTAATTGCTTAATGGGAAGAGATAAGAAGTATCTATTAGGCAACGTCCGATACCTATAATGGTTTTGAAAATTCAAAACCAACAGAAGTCAGGCTAAGTAACAGTGTAATATCAGTGTCAGAAGAATAAAACCAGTTAAAATAATTCAAGCAACCTAACTTATGAAGTTCAATAGCTTCTACTTGTAAAACTAAGAGATGCAATGGTGAATATTTTTTGGGTTCTGAATATTGGCACTCAGAGTATCTGAAGAATGCATAGTGAATTGTATAAGAATCTACTCACATCCATTCAATTGTCTGCATAAGCGTACTCAGTTTTACCAGCAAAATAGTCTATCTGCATAAGCAGAAGAGCATTCTATGAAAAAGACCACAGTTCTGCTTTTAAAATCCCCCCCATGGTTATACAATCAGCACTCAAGTGGGAAAGACACTTGCAAGTTAGTGGAAGTGGTTTTTAGTTATGATAACTGGATATATCAATGAACAACTGAATTATGAATAACAATTCATGTAGCCAACCCCAGATTTATTGGCAATACTTAATTTATTTTATATAACTACGATCTTCTTTATGGTTTCACCAAAATGATAGTCTAGAAGTTTAACTATAAGAAGCTTCTCATAAATAAAATCTCTGTTTAAAAGGGTATTTTGAAACTATTACAATTGGCTTCAATGTCAAGTTGGCCACAAGAATCTAAAAAATGGGTAACTTGGTCCTTCAATGTTTATTCTATGAAGTTCGAAAAATAAAATAAAAATGGGGCAATTCTAAATTTTTTACACAAACATTTAGCCAATTATTCAGTTGACTGGTTGATTTAAATATCATTTTGTGAATATGTCATAAAATGAGGCAATTGTAAGTATAATTTTGATCCCTCATATTTGGCTTAAATGTCAATTTAGTCATGAAGTTGCAAGCATAAACAAATTCTTTCATCACATACAGTTGACTCCTTAATCTAATATATTTATATAACTCTATTTAAATTGTATTTTTGGATATAAAAATGCTTAGATTTAAAATAGTTAAAATATATAAGCACCAATGCTTAATTTATGGCAAGCACCCATTACATGACACACCAATCCATTTGTGGATAAGTTTATGGTTGGGTCTCTATATTTGAATTAAATTGTTATATTTACAAATGGATTGATATGTCATGTCATAAGTGCTTAGTCGGTGCTCAATAGATCATCTACATATAAAAATGGTGGATAGATTGATATGTCATGTCATCAGTGCTTAGTTGGTACTTGATAGATTGCTTCAAGAAAATATTAAATATACTATGACTTGTGAATATAGATGTTTTAATTTTTAAGTGAAATGTGTTACACAATAACCGGGGTTATATTAAAGTAAAACTCCAAATATACGACAAAATATGTTCCCATCCAAAAAAAAGTATAAAGAATTTTATTGCCAAATGATTCAACTAATTGAACTTTCCCTAAATTTTTTAAAAGAATTGGCAGTCAATACAAAAGTGCATGAAAACTCCTGATTGTTTGTTACTTATCAAGTTTCTGAAAGAAGTTGATCTCTTTTTTCAAGAAGATTCATCAGGGTCTCTGTCAGTTAGATTCTATTCAGCAAATTATTGATAAACTTAGATTATATATGTTTTATAGTGTTAAGAATTCAATTCGGAAAAACCTCCAGCTGCACACTATTTTATTTATAGGATTTCTGTACAAGTAGTTAAACAGAAACGTTCTCATGCTTCAAATGCTAGACTAGTAAATTAGATCAATAATGTGAACATACTTCAGTTTCTGATGTGCACTGCTATTCTCCCAAGGTGGATCGATCAATATGAGATTGAAGCCACAATCAGATTCAGCTGACATAAAACAGTGGGAAACTCATATCCATTTTGGCAAAAAGGTAATAAAAATAGATTCACAAAAGCATTAAAGTTAAGAAGGCCTTAATAACTCGTTACAGCTAAAGAGAAAAATATAAAAGAGCAGCCTAAAAGCACACATTTGCTAGGGTTGGTTATTTAATATCATAGCAACCAATGTTTTTAACAGGTAACTATTATCTCCATATCTGCAAAACAACTATGCAATTTCAGTTTCCATGAAAAGGTAAAACTAAGTTATGAAAAAAGTTCACTAAGTCACTAAGTTATGAAAAAAGTTCACTAAGTCAATTTCTCAAATGAAAATCAATCACACATAATGCCTCTAATTTTGGTGAACAAAAAACTAATAATTCCCTATATACAATAAATATTTTCTTATTCCTAGCCTATCACACCTTAGACATATAGAGTTCACATCTTTCTATACAAGATTCAAATGAAAATTTGAGTAAGCTCAAAGAATACCAGGAATCAAGTTGTGAATCTTCCCAAGATCAGACTTCCACATAATAAGAAAAACAAATCATAGAGAACGTTAGATGCAAAAAACAATAAAACCATGCAATTACAGAAGAAAGTTAAGTTCTCATTTACTGTAATCGAAAATGGATTCACTGCATGTTTAAATGATAGAAAAAAAACCTAATACTCTGATATAACTCTGGTATAATAGAGAGAGAGAGAGAGAATCTACCAGAACTATAGAATAGTAACTTATTAATTAAGAACAGATTACAAGAAATCAAGCCATTTTATCTATTCTTCAACACCATTTGATCAGACCATCACCAAAAGGAGTTTTCATCTCATACCATGTAGAAACAACTTTTCTTTGGTACAATATATCTGCAGTTCAAAAATTCAGCCACCATGTCACTGCTCTCCTCATTGGCAACGAGGTTGTTAAATACTGGAACAATTCTTTGGTTACAGAACTGAGAAGGTGGGAAACCTGGAAAATCATAGGGAAACTTATGGTCCTTGTGGTCTATGAAGCTGAAGGATGAATACTTCATTATGCGATATTGCAACAATTTGACTTTTATTGACACAGGCAAACATAAAGCATCCCATAAAGGCATCTTACACCACATATTTTCAAAATCGTGAAACTGCTATCAATCAGTCCATGTTTCAAGCATTTTGAAAAACATTTAACAAACGTATGTATAAGTATAATTCTCGATATTATCAGGGATGGAACTTGAGACGCAAACATGGCATATTGCTTTTAAATCACAATTCATTTAGCTAGTATCAGTGTCTAGAACATGGGTGAGATATCACATTGCATTGGCTAGCAGTGATGGGGCACCAATAACACTATCATGTGTGGTCAGTCTTGTAGAGTATATCCAATGTTGCAAGGTTAAGCGTTATTTGTCATTGTAATTGGAACAAGCATCTAAGTAAAAGAAAATAAATGCAATCCAGATACACCATCAGCCAGAAGATTGAAAACACGTTACATTTTCATGCTTACAATGTTTAACAAATTCAAACATGCAGTACAACCAACATTTTAGGCAATACACCTATCATGTCAACCAAGAGCTACATCACTTCAAAACTGTAATTACACCATAGCTGCATCCGACATGCCATGACACTTGATATCATTTCATCTGCATCATACTTTGGTAGTGGACACGACTCTTTGACATATAACTAAGTCACGACAATTAAGCACAACCAAAATTTATTGACAAAGAAACAAATGTTCTCCCTCTAATATCATTTTCCTATCACGATACTGCTCAAATATTTTTGTGAATGACCGTCCATCATCAAGCATTAAATTTTTGTGGACTATGTCTGTGAATGCTAGTATCTTTAGAGCAACCGGATACTAGCATGCTGGATCTTCTTATATATAGATGTGGTGGTTCAAACGTAGGACCAATGCAAAGTTGTGCCAAGTAGATATTCTTAGTCATGGTGGATGATTGGATAAAGGTCTACAATATGCGTCAATGATACAATTTTTTGTGGACTGTCTGTGAATCCTAATATCTTTAGAGCACCCTGATACAGGCATACTATTTTTTCTAGTTTATAGTTGTTTTGGTGGCTCAAAGGTAGGACCTAGTGTAAAAGTTGTGGCATGCAGATCTCCTTGATTATGGTGGATGGTTGGATTGAGGTCTACAATATGCACCAACCAGCCATTGTCAAATAATATAAAAATCTCCATCTATAGGGAGTAGAAGAGACCCACATTTGTTCTTTCTTCTTAATTCACAAACTTCATACCTTAAACATAAAATATGGTCACATTCATGTTGTATTTATACTGTTCAAGTTAGATGATTGCATTAGATTTTAGATATCATACAATATGATGTATTAGAGTGTTGTACAAATGGAAAAAAGAATTACAAAACAATTTGGCTATGCTTCTGAGAAACTAGAACAGTAAGTACGGTTTCAGAAGGTATAAAGGACTTTAAGTCATTCCTACTTGATACTTCTACATATAAAATAAATATAAACAAGATATAAATTCTTATATACCTTCATGCTAAGTACACAAGAATATCATAAGATTGAATGGATGTAAATAATGAATAAAAAATTCTTTTCATTGGAAACACTCTCACACTTCTTGGAGAAAAATTAAATTAAAATAAAAAAGGAGATATAAACGAAGTAAAAATGTTATCTTGATTTATTATCAATGAAGTAAAAAAAGCATAGATCTAGAACGCACCTGCACTTTTTACAATCATTTCATCCTTAGGAAAATTAAGAGTGATCTCATAGAGTGGCGCTTGCCAAACACTCCCCACCTCCACAAAATCAAGCTCACTATCTTGTGAAATCACATCGGTCTCATGTCTCTCTTCATCACACCCCACATTCCTCAAATTCTTCACAATTTCCAAAAGCTCACTTGACTTTAGCAACGCCTCATGCGCCTTCAATAACATAGACCTCACCTCCTTCAACCAAATAAGAAAAAACATTTTTGTGTAATGATAAGAGCAACATATATACACACTGAAAAATAGAATGCGTTTTTGAACTCCTCCCATGGAAAATGTTTAATCCGTCAGTATGTCATTGTTTCAGCATGTTATCACCAGACATTACCTACTAATTCATGGTCAGTATTTTATTACCTGTAGCACCATATACTTAATGTATAACAATTAGCTATCCGTTTTCCCAATAATTGAGCCGAAATTTTTCTTTTCCTACTCATAAAAGTTAATATCGAATTACTAGTATTCTACAGAAGTAGTGGTAAAATAACTAAGTTTTGTTATGCCGCACAAGCTGTCGACCCTTTTACACCGGCACTAGAAAGAACATCGATTCATACATAAAATGTACGCTTTTGTGTGTATATGTGTGTATGTAGCTATACCTGATGTCGTTGATCAGCGATTTGTTCACGCGAGTTGAGATTGTGCGATTTCTCTTTCTTCTTATTGCGTTTTCGTTTCTTCAAATTTCTTGAACAGTTATTGTGAGTTTCAGTTGAGTGGTCGGCAATGGAGTTGAAGAATCGGGAGTAATAAGCCGACGGTGAAACCCTAAACCGGGTGTACGACCGAGTCAAGATTCGAACCGGGTCGATGAACACCGCTTTCGAGCCTTCGAACTGGTAAATGCCGGTTTTGAGAAAAACCGATAGCCGGTCGTTTGGTTCAGGGACTGTCATTTTCCGGAGGCAACAATGGTGTGCTTTGCAGGCGTAAAATTTAAATGGGTCTATTGGTTGGAGATGGAACCCATTGAGCGGATGCAGAATAACAGCTTGATTGAAGCGAAGTTAATAATAATAATAATAATTGAAAGAAATTTTGTAATAATGATTTTTTCAAGAAAAAGTAAGGAAAATTGAATTTTCTTGTGATTGAAAATAAGTTTAAAAAATGAATAAGATAAAAATACTACTATCTAACACCTTCAGAAGTGAAATCATGTGTCACTTAGTGCCACCCAAACTACTGTTATAATACTATTACTCTTCATGTGATGGGGGCTAAGCTCCCAGTTTAGATTAAAATTAGATTAAAAAAAAAATTTCTTTTAATCTATACTAATCAGGGGCTAAATTTTCTAAGGACTAATCTCTTATTGGCTCAGCTCGACTTGTTTCAAAGGAGAGTTATAGGGCAAGTTGTGCTGGCATTTTTCATACGAAATCAACTATCCACTCCTATTGGCTAATTCAAGTTTCACTAGCGAGTGAAATAATTTAAATTTTCGAGGAAATTTTATAAAATAATAAAAATAATGTGATGGATGAGCCAAGAAACAAAGTTTTGAACAAGCTGACATGTGCTCGTCTTGCTCCGAAACTAACACGAGCCAGCTCAAGGAGTAGGTCAAGCGAAGCTGGGACAGATCAGCCCATTAAGACACCTATTAGGACCCTAGTACAAATAAAATTCAAATGATGATTGAAGAACAATGTTGAAAGTATATTGTCAATGAGATTTATAACCCGCAATTTTGCATATGATAAGTTAATAACTAGATTGGAAAAAATTCAATGTGAGTACAAATTTTGAAGTTTTATGTTAGAAGGCAAATTTATTTTATTATAAAATGATCCATGCATTTTGTTTTTTCCCTTTAGATTTATCATTATGTTAAATTCTGTAAATTTTTCTGATGGAATGTCTAAAGTGGAGACCTCTACATCGACGCCACATTAGATTGTCATCTACCACCTCAAACGTAGTGTCAAAAAAAAACATGCAAATTTTAATCGAGTGACCATATTGAAAATTTTATAACAAAGTAGCCAACGTGAAACTTCATTATAAGTTGAGCGATTAAGAGTCTTTTTAATCCTAACTAGAATTACTCGATCACTGAAATTGTTTTCTTGAAATTTATTTTGTTCATTATAATGAATCATTTGCCTCGAATGATCTCGACTAGTAGAAAGATAATAGTTGGGCTATAACTTTAAGCATTTCCCTCCTATTAGAAAGAAGGTCCAAATTCACTTAAAGAAAACTTCGATATATTTGATCTCAAACATTCATAAAGTTTAACCTCCAGACAAGTTATTATTTTGGGAAAAAAAAAAAGAAAAAAAAAAGTCATGTTTTAAAGTTTAAACTGTGTCAAGTGTTGGAATAATCTTCCCTCCTGAATTTTCTTATTTGATATAATACAGTTTTTCCTTAGCAAACTCGGCTTATTTACTTATATACAAGTTACTAATCCCTTAGGCAAATATTCTTGATTTTGTCATTGTTATGTTATACTATGATAATTACTTGAGGTATGCGAACATGGTAATATTATTGTAATTCGTGTTTCACAATTTGATTAGTACTTTTATGGAATCAAATCAAAAGTTTGTATTATATATTTTATTTCTTGCGGGTGAAGAAGAATCTTCATTTTAGCATTTTAAATTAATGACTTTTTATTTAAAAATTTAAAACTGTCATAAAGTTAATATTATTTATTTAGATTTTTTTCTTGAACAAGTTTCTTTATGTATTATTCGAATTATTTATTAAAAACCAATAGACATGCTCAATTTTTATAAATGAATGAGGACCAACTTAAACTTAGTATATTGACTAAATGCTTAAAATTATTATAAATAAAACAAGTTTATATCCTTTGTATCATTTTCTTTTTAGTTGTTAAAATTATAAGTTCGTAGAAATGAATGATGAATAAGTAATATAATAATGGATCCTACAAAATGTGAATTAATTTTTTTATTTTAAAAAGTAATTTTTGCTATGAAAAGAGATAAAGAGAAAAGAAGGAATAAAAGACAATAGACTTATGTGTATTATAATGAGAATCAAAACCTTATATTTATAAGGAAAGAATTAGGGATGCGATGATAAAAATTTCAAGAGTTATAGGCGTACAATTATCATTAATTAATAAATTTACCATTTATAGCACTCCAATTTAAATGACACATTACAAAAATCTACTTTGTTAAAACTTTATTTGATAAAAAGCCAATAGGAAAAAAATGAAACAAAGGATAAGGATTACAATTATTTTTGACTATTAAAAATAAATGTTGCCTCATTAAAATCTTCTTAGAAAAATTCAGTGAGATAAAACCTAAACGAAGAAAAAGAGTACAACTCCTCCTCTTTAATGTTGATCACTAAAAATCTTTATGCGACGCATTCCAATTTTGTTAAACAATTTCTTGAATGTAAATGTCAGTAGTGTTTCATTGAATAAATTAGCCACATTATCACTTGAAGCTCATGTATATGAAAGAATTTTGGAGACATATGCTTTGTTCTGTTACCTTTGATATATCTTCCTTTAAATTATGCAATACAAGTTGCATTGTCTTCATTCAAAATTGTTGGACTAGCTTTTGTTAAAGTTTGATCCACATGCTTTTTGGGTATGATGAGTCATGTTTCTCAACCATCACATTCTCTGTCTACTTCATGAATTGCAATAATTTTAAAATAATTTGAAGATGTTGTTGTCAAAGATTGGTTCACAGATCTTCATGATTTAACTATCCCTTCGTGTGTAAACATATATCCTGTTTGTAATTTAACTTTATGTGGGTCAGAGAAATAATCTGCATCTACATATCTCAGTAGAGCAAATCATGTCTGTAAACATATATCCTGTTTGTAATTTAACTTTATGTGGGTTAGAAAAATAATCTGCATCTACATATCTCACTAGAGCAAATCATGTCTTTTGAGAATAAAATAATTACAAATCAACAGGTGTGTCTTTTGAGATTAAAATAATCACACACACGCACATATATATACATATGTGTGTGTCATTATCAAATGAACCATATAAATATACAGTTACTAAATCCATAAAGCTCATATCGGACCTTTGTGACGTAGTCAAATTAATTAAAAATCTAAAAGTGGCGATGTCTATTACGGGAGAATATCTTTGCTTATAATCAATTACAGGTCTTTGTAAGAAACCTTGAGCTATGAGTTAGGCTTGTATATTGTAATTTCATTATTTTTATTTATCTTTCGTACAAAAATTCATTTGTATCCAACAATGATTACCTCTTTAGGTGTACGAACTATAGATCCAAACATTTTTCATTTCTTTAAGAAATTCAATTCCGCACGTATGGCTTCTTTCCATTTTTGCCAATCATTTCTATGTTGACAATATTTAACAGACTGTAGTTCAGAATCCTTATTTTGTATAATATCAAGTGCCACGTTAAAGGCAAAAATATTGTCTATAACAATATTATTTCGTTCCCATAATCCATGAGATAATATATAATTTATTGAAATCTCATTATTTTTTGACACTCGTGGATCTTCAAGAACCATATTTTCAATTTTGATTGATCAATCTTCTTTAATATTACTTTTTCTAAAGTTTTTCGTTGGTTTTCTTAGGTACCTTTTTTTCGAGGTTCAAAGTTTTTGAATCAACTAGTATGCCACACTTTTAACGTATTTGAGATTCATTTGCTACAGAAGATTGTCCTTTAAGGATATCAATTTTTGCTGAAATATATTTTGCCGATATATATGAGTTCGTCATTTTTTCTTGTTTAAACAAATACAACATATAATTGATTTACAACCTTCTGTAAATGAATGATTTTTTCAACTTCTGACTCATATTAATTGTTGCGGAGATCAAAGTGAGATAGAGTAATTTCATTCCAATAAATTTTAACTTATTTTTTAGGATGTAGTTTTTTTCCATTCCAAAGTTAGATAAGTCATTTTATCAAAATGACAATATGTAAAACGTGTAGTAAATAAACCACCCTAAGTGTTCAAGAAATCTAATAATGGATGATGAATCTATATCCATGTAAATTCCAAATTTTCGTTTGAGACTCATTTTATGATGTTGTAGGGGTGAAATAGAGACTTGCACAACAAAACCATAAATTCGTACGCGAGAAATATTAGGTTCATGACAAAATGTCAGTTGCAAAGGTAAATATTGATAACAGACAATTGGTCAGATACGAACCAATGACGCGGCATGTAATATTACATGGTCCTAAGTAGAAGTTGGAAGTTCTATTTTCATAAGTAATGTCTAGAAATAACTTGTAGACGTTTAATAAATGACTCTGTTAAACTATTTTGTTTATGAGCAATTGAATGTTCAATAACAATCACAATTGACATACAATAATCACTGAATGCTTGTGATCTAAATTCGACATCATTATCAAGACGAATTGTCTTGATTGAGTAATAAAAAAATTGAGCTCTTAATGTTATGATTTGAGCAAGTAGTCTAGCAAAAACTACATTCCTTGTGAAAAGTAGGCAAACATGTGCCCATCTACTAGAAGAATTGATTAATACCATAAAATAACAAATGGTCCACATGGTGGGTATATTGATCCACACATATTTCTATGAATTCTTTCTAAGAAAGTTGAAGATTCAAAATTGACCTTTGTAGCCGAAAGTCTAATGACTAACTTGCATTAAAAACAAACTATATATAAATAATCATTAGGTAAAAAAATCTTTCGGTTCTTTAAAGGATGTCAATGTGAGTTGTCCTAGATGTCTAAAGTATAAAATTTCTTAAGTCAACGAACTTCTGATTCATGAAAATATTTGATTAAACCATTTTTCTAAATGTATAATATTACATGTCAGATGGAAGTGCATAAAGTTTTTCTTTTATTTACTTCTAGACAAATACAAAAGTAGTTATGTAAAGATATTTAACATTATTTTCTTGTATCATCTCAATGTAATATCCAATGCGACGGATATTTTTAAAACTAAACAAATTTCTTCTGAATGTAATAGAATAAAGTG